TAGGCCTTGCTGCCCACTCCACATGCCCCGGGGCACAGGGTCAGGCTCCCAGGACAGGACGGTGTCCTGAGAGAAGTGCTGTGCCAGCCAGGACTGAAAGGACATGTGTGGACACCAGCCGTCCTTCCGACCTCGCCGTCGGGTGTTTATCAACCAGCGTCAGCGGAGGAGGGGCCGTGCTCACGGTGTTCCCTGCACGGCATCTCCACCCCGTGCTGACTCCGTGTCCAGATGCACGTTGCCCTTTGTCCCTGGGAGCGCGCAGTTCCCTCTCCGTGACGCTGCCCCTGCTCAGTGTCCTGGAGATTGCTTCTGAAATGGCCCGCAGAGCACTTCCTTGTGGGATTCGCAGGCTGGTATGGGTGGGTTTCACTTTTGGAAGCCGCCAGAGATCGTTAGGCATTAAGCCGGGCCTTGAAACGTCTGGTCAAAAAGAGACCAATGGTGACTAAGTGACAAGGCTTCGGTCGTCATGTGGCACCAAAGTCACTTCCAAAGAAGGAGTTTCGGGAGGACTCTGGCAGTGAAGGGGTTGTCCCAGCCAGCAGGCAGGGGGTGCTCGGTGGCACTGGGAGGACAGCAGCAATAGGGTTGTGGTTGGCTGGCAGTGACTCCAGTTGGCTTCCTGGGCTGTCCACACACAGAACTGCAGACCCCTCACAGACAGCGGGGAACATGGATGTTTGTCAGATAACAGTCCTGTCTCTGGAAGGAAGGAGACTCCATGTAGCTCGGCTACTGCCGGATATTAGGGTGGCATTTACCCAGTGTGGTTCCGGAACAGCTGGAGCCTGTGCTGGCTCTCGGGCGCAGGCGCCTCTGCTCTCGCTCTGTGCTGTGGCCCACGTCCCGCGTTTCCATTAAGCTGGAGTCTCGTGTGTTCCTCAGCTTCGTGGTTGCCTTTGGGCTGCTTTTTTGTGTCTTGTTTCAGATCTTTGTGTCCATTATTAACTTATCACAAGTAGAATTGATTCAATGGGGATAACGATTTTTCTTTTGAAAAATGAAATACAAGTCGACAGTAACTAAATCAGTCAGTTTAACTTTTATTACATATGTGAGTTGTACACTGTGAATGTAAGGAAGTCTTTTTCCTTGTAAGTTAATTACAAGGTTAAAAGCCACTGGAGGAGAAACTGAGTGATTATTGATTTATTCATTCATTTAACAAATACTTTTTTTTTTTTTTTAAGACAGAGTCTCACTCTGTTGCTCTGGCTAGAGTGAGTGCCTTGGCGTTAGCCTAGCTCACAGCAACCTCAAACTCCTGGGGTCAAGCGATCGTTCTCCCTCAGCCTCCCGAGTAGCTGGGACTACAGGCATGTGCCACCATGCCCGGCTAATTTTTTCTATGTATTTTTAGTTGTCCAATTAATTTCTTTATATTTTTGGTAGAGACGGGGTCTCACTCTTGCTCAGGCTGGTCTCCAACTCCTGAGCTCAAACGATCCACCCGCCTCGGCCTCCCAGAGTGCTAGGATTACAGGCGTGAGCCACCGCGCCCGGCCAGAAGTAATATGTTCTTATTATAGAAAATCATTTCTTATAGACGATGATGAAGTGGAATGTCAAAATGAAAACCACTGCGGGTGGTCTGTCATGGTATCTCTGGGTCCCAGATAGAGCCCTCCACACTCACTGTTCTGAGACGTGCTTCTGGCAGTTCCCGGTCTATTTTTGGCATCTTTTCTTTGTGTTGGTTTGTTGAGTTCTGCCACATCTTTCTGAATGGTAAAGTGGCCCTCTGTTGTGTGCGCCCAGCCCATTTGCTCAGAGGCTCCCAGGTGGCTGTGAGCTGGCCAGCAGGACGGCGCCGGACATTCCTATTCAGCAGAGGGACTTTCTGTGACAGGTCAGGTGCAAGGAGAGTCTGCTCCCCTCTGGGCCCTGCTGAAGTGGCCCCTACATAAAGGCAGCGCCACTCTGACCTGCCGGAGCCGGTATCTCCTGTAACAACCCGCAGGCATAGCTTCCAGGGTCCCTGTCAACAGACGTACCTGTCACAGGGGTCACTGTCCCGCGGGAAGCCCAGGTGTTTATGGGTCCATGGCGTCTGCCGGCGCGGGTGTCGTGTGCCAGTCAGTGGTCATTCCCTAGGCAGTGCCTCTCGGTGACGTGCACCCCACACACCACCTTCCAGGGATCAGGGACGGAGCCGAGGGTTGAACTGGAGGTCAGCTTCTCCCTCAGCCCCGGCGCGGACGGTGGTGTTGGGGCTGCCGCTCCTCTACACTCAGCACAGGGGCAGGTGCGTTGGACGCCGGCGTAGTTGCAGCCCGGTTGTGCTCCACACAAGTGCTAACTGTCTCACAGCTGTTTCTAAGAGCATTTAAAGCATCCTTTTAAAAGCGCTTACATTATTTTGTGAAGAGTCTTCTCAAGTCTTCACCGGTTCCCTCTCTCCACACCTGGGGCATTTTCAGCTGTTCAGACACCATTCCGGGACTCCGAGGGCGTGAGCGTTGTTAGATCTTTGCTATTGTCCCACAGGTCCCTGCGCTCCGTTTGTTTCTCTTCTTTTTCAGTTAATTTCCTCTCTGTTGCTCAGACCAGGTCGTCGCTGTTGTTTTATCTTCAAGGTCTCTGATTTCTCCCTCCGTGATGTTCATCCCGCCGTCGAGCCCGTCTAGTGGGTCTTTGGTTATTGCACTTTTCGGTTCTCAGATTTCCACTTTCTTCTTCGTTGTATCTTCTTCTTCTTTGCTGAGATTTTCTTTTTTTCCATTTGTTTTACTAAATTGCTTGTTGAAGCGTTTTTACGGTGACTGCTTTAGTGATGTCAGCGTTTGCACTGTCTTGGTGTGGCGTCTGATGGCTGTCTTCTCTCATTCAGGTTGAGATCTTTCTGGTTCTTGGCATGCCGAGTGATTTTTTTTTTATTGTAGCCTGGACATTTTGGGCTTTATGCTGTGGGACTCTAGACCCTATTTAATTTTCTCTTTTATAGGCAGTCACCCTGCTTAGGTGTAACAGGGTCCAAGTGGAGGTGAGAGTTCTGCTCCTCTCTGGGCCCTACTGAAGCCAGCCCTGCAAAAGCGAAGGACCACTGTGTTTAAAGTCACTTGCAAATGTGGCATTCAGCGAATATTCAGAATTGCTTTTCTTAATGCGTATTTTATTCCCACAGTGACAAGAATGGTGAGATGGACCATCATCGGGAACAATATGAAAATCTGAAATGGAGGCTAGAGAGAAAACTCGAGGAACTCGACGGTGAACTTGCTCTGCAGAGACAGGTAGAGCTTCCGGGGGTTGGTCCTCTCCTATGTGTTTCCCTGCCTGCCTGCTGTGCAACTTAGCTCGTACAAAGTTAAGGGACCAAAACACCATTTTGTTCATTGACTGTGTTATCCACGGGAGTGAAAATAGAATGACTGGGACAGGTTTCCACTCTGGGCTGGTCTGTAGGGGGATGCGATGGGGTGTCTAAATCTGCCTCCGAAGTCCCTCCCACGGTGTTCTCTTTCGTCACGGAGCGATCAGGGCTCTCAGAGAAGCAGAACTAGCAGGAGATTTGTAGGTACACACAAGAGGAGATGTGTCGTGGAACTGACATACGCAGTTGTGGAGGCTGCGAAGTCCCGTGGTTTGCCGTCTGCAGGCGGCAGAACCTGGAAAGCTGGCGTTGCCATTCAGTCTGGGTTCAAAGGTCTGAGAACCAGGCACTCTGATTGCCAAGGGCAGGAGAAGGTTGGTGTCTCAGCCCAAGCAGAGAAAGCGTGTTCACCCTGCCTCACTTTTCAGTTGTATTTGGGCCTCCACCCATGCTAGGGAAGGCAGCTCTTTATTCAGTCTGCTGATGCTGACGTCCTCACAGACACACCCTGAGCATCCCTTAGCCCAGTCCTTTTTTTTTTGAGACAGACTCTCGCTTTGTCGCCCTGGGTAGACGGCAGTGGCATCGTCATAATTCATTGAAACCTCAAACTCTTGGGCTCAAGTGATGCTTCTGCCTCAGCCTCCCAAGAAGCTGGGACTATAGGTGTGCACCAGGACGCCCAGCTAATTTTCCTATTTTTAGTAGAGACGGGGTCTCGCTCTTCCTCAGGCTGGTCTCCAACTCCTGACCTTAAGCCATTCCCCCGCCTCAGCCTCCCAGAGTGCTAGGATTATAGGCGTGAGCCACCGTGCCTGGCTAGCCCAGTCACTTGATATGTAAAATTAACCACTACACCTCAGAAATGATTAAACGTTTCCTTATTTATTTTAGAAAAGAAGTACTGTTAAAAAACTTGAGTTATTTACTGCAGAAATGAATTTGGAACTCAAATTATGGTAACTGTGTTTCTTTCAACACAATAATAATTGTAAGTTTAAATATAGATATTTTAATTGACAGCATTTAAATCTGTCACCAGATTTCTCCTTGGTGTTCTTGAAACTCAGCCCATACCTCCAGGAGACTCAGCTGTGCTGGATTTGGTTGAAAGATACGTGACATGCTTGAGCCCAGGAGTTTGAGGCTGTGGTGAGCTGCGATGGTGCCGCTGCCCCACCGTACTCCAGCCTGAGCGACAGAGTGAGACCCTGCGGAAGGGAGGAAGGAAGGAAGGAAAGAAGGAGAGAGAAAAGAAAGAAATCCTCCTATGGATTTGTGTCCAGCGTCCACATCTAGCGAGATGTGGCAGACAACTGTGCAGGTGCAGGTGTGACGTGCGGCTGGGTGTGCCGGGGTCTCCTTGTCTCCTTCTGTCGGCTATTGGAGCCTGGCTGTTGTAGCATCGGCCAGTGTGTGAGGAATCTTGTTGCGTGAAGCCCTCTGTGCAAGAGTGTGAGTTCACGTGCTCCTCACAACAAAGACAAAGTTGTTTCTACGCCTTTTAGACTCAGTCCATGATGTAGAGTAGGAGCTGCACCTGGATTCATCCTGCGCTGTGTCCCCACCTCTGCTCCTCCTGGCAGTGATGCTGCCTGAGCCGTCCATCTCTGAGCTCCCTTTTTGTCTCTTGTTCTGGATGGCGCACCTGCCGTGTCCCGGCTCCGTTCTGGATGGCGCGCCTGCCGTGTCCCGGCTCCGTTCTGGCCCTGTGTGGATGGCG